GCCGGAGAGATGGGAAAAAGTAGTAGAAAATGGAGGAAATTACTTTGATTAAGGTATTCATTCATCTTCCCTTCGAAACAAATCGAGACGAAAAAACGATAGGAATTAAGTTTAACACCTAATATATTTGTGAAATTATTTGAGCACGTTGTTGTTATTTGTTGCGATGACATTAATACTCACAAGAAGTCGTAGGTCGGGATGATATAGAATTCTGCCATTATTGTCAACAATAAATGAATATCCATTAACTCCTAACTGTAATGTGAAAAACGCATTGGTAATACGTATTATGACGTCAATGAGCAAAATATATAAACATGGACTGATCGCACCAATTTGGTGGCTAATTATGATTGAATATCTTTCTCCAATACATTGGTTTGTATTTTTCTAAAAATAAAACATTTCTTGTTTTATTTAATTCTCGCTTTTATTTTTCATCTATTATTTAAGATAAAATTGTATAAAACTCTATAAAAAAAGATCTGACAAAGGCCAAAGGATAATTTATAGTCGATTCTTAAGTTTAAGACCGTTTTACATACAGTCTTAAGATGTCATGAACCAATCAGAGAGTCGCATTAAAAATTTTTTGACATTACTTAAGACAGTCTTAAAATAAGAACAGACTATGAATATCGACCAAAGAGCCAAGTCTTTCTGAAGCCAAGCAATTGGTGTGACCAGGCCGAATAATGAAGAAAACATTAGTTTATACCTTGTAAGGCGGCACGAGTTTCTGAATTTCTTCAATAGGTACATCGGTACCGACAATACCCAATAAATTAGCCGTTTTCACCTTAGAATGATAACATATAATGAAATACAATTTATTTATATATTACTTCACACATTTAAAGTGGCGCTCGCGCAATATTAATACGTCAGCACATAACTATTGTGTTTGAAGTATAATTACCGTATAATTCCGGCGATCTAAAATCGGAGCTGTCACAGATGTCATCAATTGGCCCCGATTTTCTCTGCCATATCTACTACTCTGAAGGTCAATTGTTATTAATGTAGAAATGCCGCAGAATATTTATGCATAAGTATATGACAATAAAAAATTATACATTTATAAAAATATTCCGCAATGCATGAATTAATCAATGTAATTAATATAATAATTATTTATGTGTGTGAATTAAATCGCTTACTTTTCCACCTATGTAAGCAGGACTCCAATGAAGAGGATGATCATGTTGATAGAGTACCATAGGCCGCGCTAAAACTTTCACGTACTCGAAAACTTTATTATGGATTTCGTCTGCGTTCGTTATTCTCGCGTAAAATCCTATAGAAATCGATATTATTAACATAAGATATTATACATAACATTTTATTTTTTTAATATTCGATGTTATAGTCAAGTATAAATTGTATTTCTCAATCTTTATATATAAATATACTCTACTTTTATATAATTCTTAATATTTAAAAGGTTATGAGATTTTAAAAATAAAAAAAAGTAGAATTTTTCTTCCACTAATTTAAAACTATAAAAATAAAATCTGTATAAATTAGTAGTCGTGAGTAAATCATTAAAAGTTGTAAAATTTATCTCTCAACATTCCAATTGTACTTTTCTTAAAACTTTATTTGCAAAACAGTGGTCACGGTTTCAAATACGATTTATCCGATTAATTTGGTTTTTTATTAACCTCTGTACAATTTTTTTTATCGAGTTATTCAACATGGAAGCAAAAAGGATCATTTTTGCTTCAACGTTGAATAACTCGGAGAAAAAAAATCGTAGTTTCATAAAAAAACAAATTAAAATTTTAACTTGTGCGTAAAGTGCATACATCGAGCTGTTTGCCCAATAATTTTTGTGCAAACGAATTGTCGGCAAAAGTGATGTAGGCAAACGATGCTGTAAGCAATCGATTTGTAGGCAAAAGGAGCCGTCTCTAAATAATTATATATAATAAAATTAAATAATATTTGTTAAATAATGCATATTTGGCAACATCTCCTTAAAATATTAATTTCCAGACTTAATGCCCTGGGGAAAATTTTTTTTTAATTGTTATGTAATTTTTCATAATTTTGGAATTTCTATAATTTGGTAACTTTTTAAATAATTTCTGATTTTTTAAATGAATTAGAATATATTTTTCAGAAATGTGGCTGAGAAAATATGGTATACATCTTTTTCTCAAAATTTTTTACATACATGCGTGAATTCTGAAATATTTTATGATTTGTCATAATTTTTACAGAAAACTTATAAAATCTGAAGAAGTTTAAGATATCTTTCAGAAACCTTTTTATAAATTTAAAATATAAAAAATTCTCTAAAAACATTATTATGATATATTATGAGAATGTATTATTATGAGATAAAAGATATGATAATGATAGTGTTATAAGACATTATGAATTTTTTTTCTTGCGTGCTTTTTTTCTTGTGTGAACATGTCAAAGTTTAAAATACACGATTGATACTCAAAATTTTATTAACAGAATAATGAACGCATATAACCGTAATACTTTTGGAATTTTCTAAAGCAATGCTGGAATTTACTTGCAACTTTCGGGCGATTTTTAGCTTGTTTCATACTTCACCAACTCGATCGGCATTTAGACTGCGCGCGGGTTGATAAGGCGGGAACTTAATTAAAAATCAGCGCAAAAGTTGCAAGTAAATTCCAGTACTGCTCTAAATAGTGTGTCGTACATGTAATGAGAGTAAAGAGTAGCTACCAATTTGAACACTTATTATAATAAAAAATTAAACAAAATTTAAAAACTTTTCATTCAGTTTAAACTTATAAAAATTGAGTAGCATAACTATAAATTAGACAGCTACAAATTAAATTGACGCTTAACACTTTAAGGAGACATAGCTATATGTGAGTTACTTAACAAAAGTTGTTCAGTTTGATTCAATTAGTAATCAGGTTTATTACTCTTTTCAGTTTATTTAACTTAACAATCAGTTGTTCAGATTTATTACTCTTTTAAGTTTATTGCTATTTTCCGGTAACACCCTATATGTATATTAACATCACTTTTAATTTTCTAATATAATGTCATTTTTTCATATTACTCCTTTATTTCAAAAATGACATAATTCACAAAACATGATTTTCGAGTTTTTACCATGAATTAGTTAGATAAGCATTACTGTATCAGTCATTAAAAGTGAATACGAACTATATTTAAAAAATCGTCAAAACGTCGTATCTCTAAATGGATGATTTTAAAAAATCGTCAAATTCATCACAACTAAAAAAGGAATAATTATTTTAAGGATTGTGAAACAATAATGACAAAAATGGCATTTGATTGTTGTTAAGAATATATTTTGTCAATATTATTTAATTAGTCAACAATAATTTTCTGTCAAATTAAAAAGTAGTTTTACCAAGAAACTTAATTTTCTGAATTGTGTCACTTTTAAAGGGAATGATATATTTGGCTAACCATTAGCAAAACTATAGTTTACAGCATAAGGAATTCATAGAAATAATTCAAAGGATAAAAAGGAAATATAAATATAACTTTACCGTTCCAATTTTTAAAATAATTTTTCCCGAAAACAAAACCTTGTATAAACAAAAATTGACTACGTTTTATTTTTTTCTTTTTCACGTAGAATCATTCTTTTTCTGATTACATTACTGGTTGTGAGACTTTGTACATCTGTAAACTATCGATGAGTAACCTTTAGTGGTGCATGCCGTGTTTTGGAGATCAAGACTCTTGTCACCACCGATGAGATAGGTAAAGATCCGTACGGGCATATGCGGCCAATTGTAACGCTTTATCACTTCTGCAGGTGGGCCATCGGTGTCGGATGTGATCAACATAATGGCCTGGTTGCATTGGCTTCCCTGGCTGGAGCGGTTGTATTTATGGAGAATCTCGAAGGCGGTGCTGAGCGCGGCTGAAATATTGGTCATAGCGTCCTCGTGTTTCAGGGAACTTAAAGCTACCTTCATCTCGTGAATGTTTTCAGGTGACGCCTGCACCAGGCTATCCTTGAAGCACTGCACTATTTCCTCGGCATTCTCGCCATAACGATATACGTTTATATAATCGTCCGGTCCTAAAGTATCCAAGACGACTTTCGTTGTAGCTATTGTTAATCGTCGATTCCGGTCAGACGTGTACGTCGCGCTATCGATCAATATCGCTAGATCTTTCGGGCTGTTTGCTGCCCCAACAAACCAATTCGACATCCTAAAATCATACACATCACGAACTGTTCGATGATGCAAGGACCTAGATGTTCCGGGTGTACCCTCCATCGGTGGCCATGATATCGCTGTAACATATAAATATATAATAAACCGCATTTCTTACATAAATTTAACCCTAAAATGCTACCGCATGTAAATTTTACGTGCAAGTAAGCGAAGTCATTTCATCATTGAGCTATGTCTTTAGTGATCATCAAAAGATTCCATCTACCATTCTCTAAAAACTAGAACAAACAGGGACAAGTTTTTAAAAATTAAGTACATTATGTATCAGTTTGGAGCCCCTGTAATCAGTATTTTAACAGAGAACGTGTTAAAAGTGCAATTATATCTGAAATAAATTTATTTAATAAAAAAAATACATATCGTATTATTCGAAACATTTAACTTTGACCGAAATGATGGCGTTCTCTGCTGTATTTGGTGTATTCGTATGTACGGTTGTTCTAAAGAATATACACTACTCAACAAAAAATAGGGAACACTTTAGAACACGTTCAAAATCGCGCAATATTCAGAACACCGTAACTCGGTGAAAAATTATTGCACACAAAAATCAAGAAAGCATTTGAAGGCTTGAAATATTTACTTTTGAAATCGGTAATTGATATTTCAATCTGACTGATTCTTTACGGGGATATATAGACTCAAATGGATACCTATCAAATCTGAAAAATTTTTACAAACTTTACAAAGATCTATGGAGTGAGGTAAAAATCACACAAAAATGTGGGTTACAGCAGTTGAAAGAGTGAATCTTTACCTTCAATTTGCTTTTTCATTGAGTGCTGTACGATTTTTCTTCACCGAGATATTGAACATTGAAGTAAAAGTGGTCATTTTTGCTTCAACGTTCAGCACTCAATAAAATCGTACAGCACTCAATAAAGCAAATGGAAGGTAAAGATTCACTCTTTCAACTGCTGTAAACCGCATTTTTGTGTGATTTTTACTTCCCGCTATAGACTTTTATAAAATTTGTACAAAGTTTTTCAGATTTGACGGGTATCTATTTGTGTCCGTATAGCTCCGTAAAAGATCAGCCCAATTGAAATATCTATTACCGATTTCAAAAGTAAAGAGTTCAGCTTTTAAAATGCTTTTTTAAAAATCTCATTACGATCATTTTTGACGAAGTTATTCTATCTTGAAGTTAAAGGATTATTTAGAATTAGCGTTAAAAAAACCAAAATCAATGTTTGAAATAATCATTTTAAAGTTTAAAGCCATAACTTTCGAATGCTTCAAATTATGTTTCTATGTAAAAATTTTATTACAAACGATGCTAATTTGAAGTTGATCTTTTAAAATTAAAAAATAAACTTCAACTTTGATGACGTGCATGGAATAAAAAATCTTCATTGGATAACGCTAATGTAGGCGGTAAACGTTATTTTTCAAGAAATGATAAGAACACTTCAAAAATCCCTATCAAAAAAACATCACATAATAATGTAAAAGATATGTTTTACACGATAGTGTTTTAGTTTTAGACATCTGTATTAAATTTTTCAAGAAAATTTTTTTATTTTAAAATAACCTGCATTTTTGCTTCAACGTTCAATTATTCGATGAAGAAAAATCGTACAGCACTCAATAAAAAAGCAAATTGAAGGTAAAAATTGACTCTTTCGACTACCGTAAATCGCATTTTTGTGTGAATTTTACTTCACGCCATAGAACTTCGTAAAGTTCGTAAAAATTTTTCGGGTATAAGATTTGATGGGTATCCATTTGTGTCCGTATATTTCCGTAAAGAATCAGTCAGATTGAAATATCACTTACCGATTTCAAAAGTAGAGATTTCAAGCTTTTAAATGCTTTTTTTGATTTTTTGTCTGCGATAATTTTTCATCGAGTTACGGTGTTCTGAATATTGCGTAATTTTGATCGTGTTCTAAAGTGTTCCCTATTTTTTGCTAAGTAGTGTGTCTATGTTAAAAGTAAATGTATAAATTAAAAGTAAATTTATGCTGGTTCTTTGATCTTAACATTTTATATGCAGAAAAATTAAAAGAAGTCAGATTACGTAAAAAATTCATATTATTCAGTTAAAAAAAAGTAGAGGTGACCTTTATGTGATCTTAAAAAATCAATTAATTTCGAAAACTGATTTTGTGTACATATAATTTCATAGTTTGATCGCATCCGAATTATCGGAGATCATATCCGGATATGGAGAAAACGCTTTGTTTTCAGCTACACTGAGAATGCAGATAATATCTGGATATATTTTCATAAAATCGCACCTTATGGCATTTCATATATCTGTTTTTCAATATTTTATTCAATTATCATCTGATTGGTTTCGCCATTTTTCATCAATCAAAAATAGGACAAGATTAACCAGAATCTTACTTCCATTAGACACCAGTTTAAATACCTGGGAAGCGACGTAGAAATCCTGTCGTCGCTCCATAATATTGCCATGATAGCGTAGGGTCACTCTCATAATTATTAACAAATAACAGATCCAAGTACTCGCTCCACTGAATACCCGAGGCAACGTCACGCTCTGCAAGAGTAAAGAATCAATTTGCCGTAGCACGTAACTAAAGCTGAAATCACACGATTTCTTGAACGATAAGCATGAATACATGCATGCCTGCTCTGACGCATACTAAGGGTGCGTTCCGAGTTACGCATGAAGCGCATAGACTGCACAGAAAGTCGTTCCGATTTAACTAATGCGCGCATCAGAAGCTCTTTGGTAGTGCCGAGAATTCCCTAGGTTGTACTATCCGTACTGTATTCTTAGCACTCTTCCCAGCGCATTGACTGCTTCTATTTCGACTTGAGGCAGTTGATGCGTCTGATGCGTTCATGCTGTCTATGCGCATGATTTGTAATTTGGAACGAGCAGGAACGAGTAACGGACAATCACAACAGTGAACGAATAAACAGTGACGTATCCGTAATTTTTTCAACTCCAATTTGTTTTCCACGTGATTTATCTACCATTAATAGAAAAAAATAACGTCTGCATATCACTTAGAAATATGTCTTCGACTTCATTTTCACTATCGCTCGATTCGGAACTATCATCGAAACTTTCATCATTTTTCTTCAAAAGTATTAAAGAAGAAATTACAATTACTGGAAATCGTTTATTGATGTCTTGTATAGCGTCCATCTTGAACTCACACAGGAATGCATAGGAAATCGTTCCGAATAATTAAAGCGCTTCATGCACATTGACTAAACGGAACGATTTCAAAGCGTTACGCACCAGTAATGCAGTCTATGCGTTTCATGCGCAACTCGGAACGTACCCTAAAATATGTTTATGCATTAAGCACGGCTCATAGGCGTGATTTTTTTGTTTATTATGCATCATGATGCAAGTAGACAATCGTTTTTTTTTCACAATAGTTTTCAATAGCTTCTTGAAAACTATTGAGAAATATAACTATTTAGAACTATTCAAGGAACTACGAATGTCATGTAGTATTATGGGACATTACTATTCATAACTATTGGAGCGAATAGTAACTATTTACGCATTTACTATTCGTTACTATTAGAATCGTAATATGTATATTATAAATTGGAGCCATTTTAACATCATGATGATTTTTTGTTTTGTTTGAATATGTTTTTCAATTTATTGCATATAATAGCTTTTAAAAACATTTCTGTTAAAACATTTCATATGACATATTGCAAAATCCTTTCAGAATTGTTGCACATGAGATGTGAAAGGTTGAAATATTTCTAAAAATTTTTCGTAACACACATACAATCGGTGCTGTATGAATGTTTCACTTCGTATAACCAAGAGGTAGCATGGAGTGAATCTTGCTACGTGAAAAATCGAAACCCACATGGAAATTTATCCATTAAAATATTCATCAATTTACGTTCGATTAATTATCCAATCTACCAGAAGTCCTTCCGATCAATTCTTTTCAATCAATTGTCCTTTCAATGAATTGTAATTTTGACCATAATTTTGTAATTTTACATCTTTCTGATCAATTTTCTTTCGATGAATTGTCCGTTCAATAGATTGATTTTCGATGAATTGTTTTCGATCAATTGACCGGAAATGCGGACACTCATTACATGTTAGTGATGTTAGTTTCGACTGAAACCATATAGCTCTTCTTCGTAAATATTAATTTTAATATGTGTATTTATTGTTTTTCAATAATTAAATTTTGATACTTATAAAGAAGAAGTGTTTATATTTATTATTTGGCCAAAATTGACACATAATACTGTTTCAATAAATTATGATATTTATGAAAAAAAAAGTATATGATATATGGGCATGTCTATATATATGCAATAGAAAGTACTATATATATAAAAACTCTTCAAATAAATTAATAATAAAAACGTACATACATATAGCCTTTATTGGATTCTTATTTTTTAATTTTGGTTTTGGTTTCGGTTGAAATTGACATGTAGCTGAGTATTTCGGTTCAGTTTCGGCAAAAGTTTCGGTCGGACTCTGGTGATCAAACCCAAATAGTACAACAGCGCTTGCAAAGCGCTAAAAAAAATGATTATATACGCTTTTTTAGCGCTTTGTTAACGTTTTGTAAGCGTTGTTGTGTGCTACTTGAGAAGATCTTTTAATCACCAGATGGAGCCATTTTTGGCTCCTTAAACAATTTCCCCACTTTTAACGACTCATCCCTGTTGCCGTTACGAAGTGAAATTGTGCGCAATTAATTTAAAGTAGACGAAAATTATCGAAAGAGAGGCATGCTTTCTCGTGTCTGGCGGCCAACTTGTTTAACGGAAAGCTCTGGATATTTGCGAAAGTTCTATCTGGCTGTCGAGCCATGTTCATCGAAGTGAAAGCTTTCCTAATCTGGCCTTATCTCGTGGAAATTTCTTTAAGAAAAAAAAAGTTATAGAGCACGCGACGAAGTTGTGCCGTCGTTCGCTAACATGGTCACAAATTTGACGAAAAAATCGCGTATGTAGGCGCAGGTGGGATTGAACTCGGATCTACAAATCGTGAGTCAATCGCAAAGGAATATTATTGTTTATAGTAGAAACAATGATATTCCAATAATATAACAATAATATTTAATAATATTAACAAGATTATGTTATATTAAACACAACAAAAGACAGGCCAATGAGAGTACAACGCAGGTCACCACGCGCAATTTAATAAATAGTGAATTATAAAATACATACATTCTAAATATAAAATTATTTGTACACGTTTTGACTCTCTTTGGAGTCATCCCCAGCGAAACATGAGATATTCAAATTACTCCCTCGTAAGATAATTAAACGGTTAGTCACTTCTGGATTGCATGATTCAAAGTGGAATCTGTTTAACTAGTATCGATAACAAATATCAAACTGCACGAGGAACATATCGACAAAAGAAGAAAGTATTAATAAAACATAGCGTAGCGACTGCAATCCGCCATCAATCAGATGTAACGTAAAAATTATATGGATGGAAAGTGTTAAAGGTGTATGTTGTCAGTTCAATGTTTAAAATGTGTCTGACATTATAATTTCTTTTATAAAAAAATATTTTATTATAGTGTTTTGCAAAGCTCTTAAAGTGTGGTATAAGAATATGCAATGAAAAATGAAAAACTCCGTTAAACAAATTCAGAGTGATCTTGCCTTGACCTTAACAATACCACCCAATACCAAGGTCAAACCAATAATTCTATCTTATGTTCACCTGGAAGTTCTGCTAGTGAAAAACGCTATTAATAACAATATCACGCTATCGACTGTGAACAGTGTTGATAGTAGCATTTGCATTCATAGTGCTGATAGCGTCTTCCTGAACGCATATTTAGCATCAACATTAGCAGCTATTGTTTTTTTAACATTAAAGGCTATGGCACACAAAAAACTTAAGGCAACAAGACGTATGCAGTAAGGAAGTCAACATGTTGGATTGGCTACTGCTTACGTTATGACCTTACGGATTCTCCTGTGATTGATCAATTCACTTACTGATTGTATTTTATTGCTTAAGTTTTTTTGTGTGCCATAGCCCTTATAACCAATTTCTGATTGATCATTTATTATGGACGAGTGCGCATCCACGGGAATGACACACCTTTGACTATTTCAAAATTTATTGCTAGTACTGAAAATCTATAGTACACGTGACGTAAACTATAGATAGATTTTCAGTACTGGCAGTAAATTTTGAAATACAGTCCTAGTTTTCTTTCATCATGACAGCATGTATGTGTTATCATTTAAAGAATCGAGCATCGTGTGATTCCAGTTTCAATCCAGCTGAATCAGAGAATCTTCCTCATTTAGAAAGATACACTACTCAATAAAATTAAAGGATCATCTGTTCCACTCTGCAAAAATAGACAAATTTCAAGATAGAAGAACTTTGCCAAAAGTCATTGTATCGAGATGTTATGTCGGTACTTTAGAAAACGGTTTTATTGATATTTTATGGAGTTACACAAACATAAATGAAGATGCATCAAATCTCAAATTTTTTTACGAAGTTCCATTGCGCGAAATTAAAAATTGTACATAAATGCGGTTTACAGGTTTTTTATCATCTTGATACTGTAAGAAATAAGCGACAACTCGAGAAAGATATCAGGGCGCTCCGAGATTCAAACCCAGGCCTGGTCCCCTCCGTAATGGTAGACTTTCATCCTGCCACTGAGCCACACAGTCCTGATAGCTTACTTTGTTGTACCTATTTCCTCTAAATTTCTTACAATACGATGATTTTTGACGAAGTTCTTCTATCTCAAAATTTGCCTATTTTTACAGAATAAAACAAATAATCCTTTAGTTGAGTAGTGTAGTTAAGATAATAATCCTTTCTCATTTAAACTATGAAGCAATAAAAGAATACAGATGACTTTCATTCATAGATATCTACATGTACCGATTGGCATCTTGTTAAATTCATTTATCGCGATGCTTACCATTGTCTTTAATTCCATTTGGCAGGAGCACGGCAGATAAACTAACGTTCACTGCTAGATTATCGAAATGGCGATTCGTAGCGAGAAACATCTCCTGTGCGGGACCCTTTTCATCGCTAATGAAGTTATTAAGCCGATGCGAAGCGTAATACTTGGGCGACATGTTTCCTTCCCTCGGCGCCGATACTGCAGCCTGTTCGGCGCTCTCCACTAATCTCTATGAATGGAACAAATAATGTTATGTTTAAAAAATATTTTATTTAGCGCTAAGCTTCAAATGATTTATAACCTATTTCAAAATTCAATATAGAATTTCGCTTATAATACTGTTCAACAAAAAATTATTTTTTTTGAACGTAAGAATGGGAGTAATCGTTTCCTGTAATTTTTTAGGTACTGAATATTATTCTGTTTACCACATTGTTGTATTATGTCACATTTTTGAGAAATTTGAAATCATCAAGAGAAGATTATTTGAATACATTTTGACATATTATATAATTACATTTACAATATATGATGTGGAGTTTTATTATAATCAAATTTAAAGGGACACTGGAGTGACACAATTATTGATTACAGCCGTATAAAAATCTTTGAATTGACTGAAGGGAATGAAAAATTACGGGATTGAAGTAAAAGCAAAATTAGGAAGTGGGGCAGTTTTTATATTGAAATAAAAAAAAGTTAAAACTTACAGTTTCCAACTCGTAGAGTTGTCACTTGACGTAAACGGTTTCTTAATACAAAAATTCTATAACTCGTATGGATAAAATATTGCACTATCCATCAAATTACGTGAACGAACAATACTGATAATGAGTTTATAGAAGATTGAAAGGTAAAAAAAGATTTATACTGTGATTTGTAAATTACGTGTATACGTATGCTTAGCAAAGATTCAGAATAGTAAATAGAGCAGTAATTGTCTAGCAGTAGGTAACAAATCTTGCAAAAAATGGTATTACAATATGTTAGAGAAGGACAGGTATATGCGTTTGAATGAGACAAAATGATAATGTAAGAAATAAATTAAAGATGTCACAAATATCGACATTTTTAATTTAGAATTAAAAAAGTATTTTGACATTGATCAGGATCATGGCACACAAAAAAACTTAAACAGTAAAACGTAAGCAATAAACGAATTGACCAATCACGGTAGAGTCCATAAGGCCATTAATGTAAGCAGTAGCCAATCCAACATGCTGATTTTCTTACTGCTTACGTCTTACTGCCTTAAGTTTTTTGTGTGCCATGTTCAAACTCGGCCACTCCAGCATCCCCTTTAAGAAAATGCTGGAGTGCACTGTTTTACCAATGAAGTATGATTTAATTTTCCTCGACTCGTTTCTCTTAATTGCACTTACGGATTGAAAAGTTCTTCTCCACAAAAGTATTGACAACAACACTGACTGCCAGCTATAATTTAATACAAAAAATGAAAAAAAAATAAAAAATTGTAGTTTTGTTACCAGCTCCTGCAGTCAACTCGTCACAATATGTGCTGCATATAAGAGTTTCAGATTTTACCCGTTTAAAATAAGTAGCCAGCAGCCTATAGAAAACCTCGAAGAACAATACTATGCCTGTAGAAATGAGCTAGGAGCTTTAATATAAGAGAAAAGAGTCGCCAAAAATTTCGTTCGTATGCTACGAATAAAATCAACGTAAAGCCATGAAATCGAACAGTATTTTAGTTGATCTCTTTCTAAGAGATGTCAATATGTTAGATAAGAATTAAGAACAGATGAATGCGTTTGAGCGAGACACAACGATACATAATAAGTATAAGAAATGAATGAAAGATGTCACTATTATCAAATTTGGAATTTTAAAAAGTCTGTACTATCGACTTCGATCAAGTTCGATCCCATAAGAGGATATGCTTACTAAAATCGTCTTGTTTTATCGACTAAATGCAATAATTCTTGTATAATTACTTTTATTCTTCTAAATTCGAAAATTTTTTTCTAAGATTGAAGTACACACATTAATATATTTCTATGACGTTTTATGTCTCGGTTTTGAACTTTTTATTGTTTGGGTTGTTCAGTCCCTTAAAAGAAATTGTGTCGATCATGACTAAAAAATATCATTAGCCCATCATCTACATAGAAAACCAGAATCAAGAAATGATTTTTATTTACAAAGATGTAGGGCTCCATCCTGATGGGAGTCAAATCAGTGATTCTCAGAATTTCGATCAGACATTGCTTCCATCTTAAAGACGCCTGTTTCAATACATACAAGGCTTTATATAATTTACAGATTTTTCTAGTTTTGTTATCATAACTTTCTGGAATTTCCACACACACATTAATTCGATTTCTTTCAGACTATACAGAATAACTGTCTTTACATTGAATTTTCAGACTATACAGCATAACTATCTTCACATTGAATTTTTCTATAACATCTTCTGGACTGCTAATGCAAGTACCAATTTCGATGAGTTCATATTGTCTATCGGGCTGAAGATCTTTTCATAATCGAGTTCAAATTTCTGCTCACAATCTCTGGGAGTGATTCATTTGCATACTGTACCAATTGTGTAGTGTCCACTGCCAATCACAGCAACTTCTGTATAGGGAGTTTTTTATTTTTTTCTAGCGCTATGATTGGCTTGTGCGCAAGTGGCTCATGTACAATTGATATATATTCATAACCTCTCATCACAACTTCCTTGTCTTGTATCGGCCATCTTCTTTTGCCCTGAAGATCCATTTATTCTACTGAACTATATATACACTGGAATAGGCATCTCGGCTGTGAGGCATAGAAAATCGTAGCACCAATTGATCAGCGATTTTAATTTGGTCAATATAAGAGCGAGTCAGAAGCTTTCAGGTGCTCATGTGTACTTACGTTTAGTGTTCTTTAGTGAAACGCATATGTCAGCAAGATCATCGTGTGTGGAGTTATATTTAAAAAGATTACCTTGAAATATTATAAAATCACGTTACTGTAAAATGTGCAAAGCATCAATATGAAGTGCTGTGTGCCTAGGCGTGGGCAGAGAAGTAAAAAGGGCATTTCATAAGTAAGAATTTTTGTATTAAATGTATCAATTTCTGCACATGTGTTAACGATGTAGGATATGAAAAGTGTTATTACTGTTATTTTATTGAATGTACTAATAAAATTAAGTGACATTATTTTTGTTTACATATCATTCATGTCTATATAAATTTCAATATATCGATAGTATATCGATCGATACATCGATCGCAGCGCGCGTATAAAGTGTGAACGCTTCTGATTCGCTCAAATATCGTCTCAACTAAAATGGCGACTGATCAATTGTGGCCACGAACTTTCCTCGATGCCCATTCCAGTGTATACAGTTCAGTGATTTATTCGTCAATATTTTTTTATCTCTAGCTTCCGATCTTGGAACTAATGACCAGACTTCAATTTTTGTATCAACGGTTCCGAAGTACGTAAAAAAAATTTTCTTGAGAAAAATTACAAAGGTGGTTCATTGGATCATGAGCATAATTATAAAGAACTGTATAAAATGTTGAATTTCAAATCATTTTATTAAAATTTTCAAGAAAGTTTATGTCTTAGAATCGTTACGTTTTTCTTATTATTTGAATAACAAAATCAGACGATGTAAGAAATATATTTTTGTGGATTATGCGCTTAATGGATATCGTGTTTTTGATCAAATAGAAAGAAAGTTGATTGTATCGCGAGATTCAAGAATGTAAAACATTCTGTTTTAGCGATTTCGGTAATACTCCAGATTAGCGGACTCCCCCAATGACCTTGAGCTCGAGTGATTTCCGACAAGTTTTAGCCGTTGCTTTATTCGTTAAAAAGTTATTAACAAAAGAAGTTTAAAAAATGATATTTCTTTTCTACTATGTAAAACATAAATTTTCTATTTTAAAATATATTTTACAACTGTTTACGCGAAGCGACTCTCACCTTAGCAGGGGGAGGAGTAGGTTGGAAGTCGCTTCGCCTAGAAGTCGTGCGCCCCCAAGCAGGGGGAGGGGGTGGGGTAGGAGTCGCCTTGCACCACTATCTCACAAGCATCAGGTCAGGCCGCCTGCCTCTTGGTTCACTGCGGGGTGATCCCGATTGATCACGGCTCGATTGGACATCACCAATCACAACGACCAGGTGCCTAGGAGCTTTGTAGTGTCAAGCACTGTGAGTAGCTCGTGTCCAATTGAGCCGTGTCCAATTGGGTGCCACCCGTTCACTGTTACGATTCGTAATCTCATTATTACGAAACGTTGCGCGTTGGCTAAATTCAGGCAAACCCGACTCAAGGCTGACTGGCTGCGTTTCTGCAAGTAACTGTACGACCACCGTCGCAAAAAGAGTTTATTTCTATTCTCATCGCTCCACCTCCCCACCTCACTTCTGACCTTTCCTCTCTCGGTGCCATCCACCGAACTATATAACACTGGAATGGGCATCTCCACTGTGAAGCATAGAAAATAGTGGCCGCAATTGATCAGCCACCATTTTGATTTGATGTTGTATTTGAGCGAATCAGAAGCTTTCAGGTGCTCATATTACGTTTAGTGTTTTTTAATAAGACCATGGTAGAAATACAAGGGTATTCTCTTGCGCAATCCCAAGAAATCCAGCCAATGAAAATTGCAGCTTGACAGCGTCATCACTAAGCGGCAAATTTGAATTGTCTAACAACATTAGCACAATAACATTAATGAATTATGCGCAATTTAATATTAAAATTATGGAAAAACTTTGCGGTGTATATATTATATATATACAGGGTGTTTGAAAATTACCGTGTAATCGATCACGAGCAGGTAGAACGGACCGAATTGAATCGAAAATTCTTATACCATTTTGTAGGTTGCGCAATAGTTAACAAGATATTAACGTTTAAAGATAGCCGAATAAGCGCGCCTACTGCTGCCGAATATACAACTTATCGTCCCCACCGATCGCACGGCGCTCGGGTCGCTGGGAGTGGGGATGGCCTGCTAGGCGTGCCGTTCGAGTCGTGTGAAGTTAGGGATGTGCAATGTACAAGAAAAGCATCGATTCTATAATAACATCGATTATGATCCAATTCGGGTTTTAATTAACCGATTCATCGTGGAAAAACATCGATGTTGTAAAAATCGATGATTTAAGGAAAGAATAATTACTAAATTTTATTTTTTTTAATTACAATTTTTAGAAATATATTGAACTATAATTTTTTAAATTATTTTTATCACAAAATAAAAGAAGAAATAGAGTACAATTTTATGTACGTCCACAGAAAAAAAATTTACTTGTTTCAAGTAAACACATTTTCTTGAACTGTAATTTATTGATTGAAAGAATTAATTACTTGCCACAATAAATTTGTTTTTTGTTCCAATAAAATATCCTAAAGCGCGCACGCGCAAATAATTTATCAATGAAGAAAATATTTTATTCTAATAAAAACACAATTACTTGTTAGTAGAAAATTGTTTTATTAAATCTAATAAATGTCATTACTTGAATCTGATTGTTGTTAATAAGAGAACATTTTTCTTAAATTTATGACATGAGTATTAGAAATTGTACATTGATTACTTTTTATAAAATATAATTTTTATTTGAGAAAGCAATTTCTTGGTTACCAAAAATATTTACTGGTAACGAGAAAATTGTTTTATATATTAATTAAATGTCTGCTAGGGACTGCCTCTCTAGTCTCTAATAAATCTAGGACTCTAGAATAGTTATATCTTTGGGTAGATCAATGAGAGCCAACCATAATCGATGTCATTAAAAAAGGATCGATGTACCGATTAATCGATCTCTTAAACATCGAATCCAGCATCGATTATTGAGCGGAAAACATCGATTTTTGTATAATCGATGAAGATTCGCCCATCCCTAGTTTGAAGATGTTTAATGGCAGTTC